TCAAGACATATATCAGAAACTGAGACAGCAACACCAGCTGATCCATTGAGATTCATCATATGCAAAAAAGAAGGTTACTGCTCATGCCAAGGCACAGAGCATGCTCCTGCCCACAGGGCTGCTGCCAGCAGGAAGCTCTAAGATTCTAGGTGGCTGGATAGCAAAATAAAGCCCCATAAACACTTACCATCATCTCCAAGCCTTTTTGCTTTCTTCTTCCTGATACAATAAATAAGCAAAATCATGAAGATGACAAAGAATATTGCACCTCCTGCTATGCTTAAGATGAGATAGAAGTCCAACTGGCCTAGTTAAGGGAATGAAAGGGTATGTTAGCGGCAAAGCAATAACTTGCACAACATTTACCTAGAATTATGTATTTTCTTCCATTGACTGTAAAGGCACTCCCAGTGACAGAGCCCACCCTTTGCCTTTTCTCTGTACACAGTAGAAAGTTGCTAGTCCTCACTGTTGAGAATTTTGATTGCGAGCCCACCCTTTGCCTTTTCTCTGTACACAGCAGAAAGTTGTTAGTCCTCACTGTTGAGAATTTTGATTGGTCCCTGATGGATTCAAGTTCTGCAGAAAATTGAAACCAGAGCATTTATGTATACCATTTAAATTACCACAAATACCCTGTTCCTGCGAGCATAGACCCTTTTAAGGGCAACAAGAATCCAGGCAGTGCTCAGCATCTAATAAAATAAACTTTTAAAGTATTTCCTACTGTACTGGATACACTGATACCAGTTTGCTTCATAGTATTTTGGTACTTCCTCTTGAATTTTTGGCTGTACGCAAATTTAAAAAAAAAAAAAAAGTGAAAAGGAAAAGAACATAACCAAATATCCCACAGCCTCAGAACAAGAGTTCAGTTTGCCTGGTGAGCAAAAATTTATATGAGTGCTCCTTATCTTCACCAGTAAATTTTGCTGGATGATGGTCTTCCTTTGCCACCTCCTGTTTGGGCTGCTCTCCTGGCATTCACTGTTCACGCTCGAGCACAGGCGCTGTGGAGCTGAACCCAGCAGAACTGGACCTTCCTTGGTTTCTTGGGGGACAAAGCTCCAAAGGGGATGACAACGCTGGTAGCACCCTTAACATTCACTGTGCATGCACAAGGAAAGCAAAAAGCGATAATACTAAAGCCAAGATGTCTACACTATAAAGGCCACTGTCAGCCTGAGCTGCTCCAGTGGGAAAAAAAAATTTTAGAAAAAGATGATAAGTACCTCAGTGATGTGGTGATTCTCACCTGTTTTAGCTGCCAGGTGAACCCAGGCAGATTCACGCATAGTTATGCTTATGTGAAAAATTATCTAAGCTGAAGCCCATCTGAAGCACATCTTGCCTGCTAAAGGTCAAAATTCAAGGCAACAGCCTCGAATGCAGGACCAGATGCTCACAAGGGCAGCAGGGTTGGAAGGAGGTTTGATTGTAAGCTGAGGGATTTTTAATCTACTGTGGAGCTGGCAGAGTCCTGCCACCACACAAAAAGGTTTGATGGAGTTTTAGTTTGAGTAGGAAGGGTGGTGCTACGTGGTTTTGGTGGGGTTTTTGGTGTCTGAGAAATGCTGTATTTGTACGTTAAAGCTCAGGGTGGCAAACCCTTTATTTCTCTCCCACAAACTCTCCCACTCAGCTCATCCTGTGAAAGAAGAGCCTTTCTCAAGGGTGAGAACTGGTGAAATCCAAGTATCCAGCTGACGGCTGATGTCTGCCTAGACCAGCAATGCAGCAAGACCCACGTTTGCCTGGCTTGTGCCCTGGCATGGCCAGCTTCAGCCAGCATTTCCTCGTTATGACAACATGTTTGGACCAGTTTGCTCTGCCTTAAATGAACCTAATCCAGCAGCCTATTTTCATACTTGGCTCAAAAATCTGTGCCACATCCCACACCCTTACACCTCAGCCCCTTCCCAATGCTAGCACCAACAGGCCTGCACAGCCCATCAGGTCAAGCAGCTTATGCAGCAGAACACAACCCTTTTTTTGGCTATTTGAGGCATCAGGGAGTTGCTTTAGGAGGCAAGGGCTGCAGAGGAGAACAGAGGCCACCCCATCCCTTAGCTCTTTGCCCTTCAATCAACCTCAGCAGGCCTTGGATCTCTTCAGTAAGGCCTCTACACCTCAAGGCTTGCTCCCTCTCTTCTCACACCATGGGTTGGCCTTCAGACTTGGAGTTTCCTTAAATTCAGAAATAGCTGGAAATCAGAAATACTGAGCCAGCTTTCATGAGGCCCCTCCATTCTCTACTAGCTCTAGCAGGAATCAGGAGCGAGAGAGTGCTTTAAGTGAAATACTCACAACTAGATAGGATGAACTTAAAAGCCCAGCAAATTCAAGGGCTATTGCCTGGCACTGTACTGGAAATTTGAGCTTTGAACTGAACACCATATCTAGTTCCATCCCAGTATGGTCTGTCTCTTGGTTTTGCCTTACCTTTTTTTTACAGGGAGCAGTGATGACTTTTTTTGCCTATCTAATAATTTTCAGCATGACCCTGCCCATTTAAAATGCAATTCTTTCCGTTCTTCCACTAAATCTATGGTTTAGAAAGATGACGCTTCAAGTAAAAAAATGCATGGTACATTTGAGCAACGCTCATCTGAGTCATGCAACCACAAAGCTCAGCTAAATTCTCCATAACCTCCCTCCTGATTTCTAGGCCAAGCTGGAGAGGTCAAGCAGCTTGTTTTTCCCCTTGTGAGAGCAAGCATCCGCATCTACAGGTAGCGGGAAATCACCACCTTCCTAGGTATGATCACAGAGAGGAGAAAAATAATGTACGACTGATTTTCCTCGCCTGAGGATGTAAATGAAGAGCAAATCCTGTGAAATCAATGCTGTGGCTTCATATACATTGGAAAAGATCCCAAGCCATATTTTTCAAAAGTAAGCTCTTAGTTTCTGTCATGGTAGCTTGGGTAGTTTTGTACTATCTTACCGAAGTAAATTGTTCTGCTTTGAATGGGTTGACTAAAGCGGATCTTTCAGAAGTACCATTAGATTTAAAGGCATAAAGGAAGATAAAAATGAGGAGGAAACCCCTTTCTGACTTTTGCAGACTGCCATGCGCAATTGACACACTTCCAAGACCCACCTCCCCACTTTCTTCTTTACTTCATTGGTCTGCCACTAGATGATGGCTGACACCACTTGAGTCTGTCGAGATGCTGACACCAAAAAGGTCTGTCAGGATACCTCTGGCAGATTTTGGAAGTAGAGTGATGGAGGGGAGGACATGAGCAAGAATTATTCATTCATCCCTCATCTAGCCTGATCTCACTGGCAGGCTGCATTTTTCCCCGGGAGAATTCACCCTGGTAGAAGCAACATTGCAGTGGACTCCAGGGGGCTCTCTGCCACCCACAAGGCTCTTGACTCCACAAAAACCTCTCCCCCTCCTCCAGCGACCTCTTCACTTAGCATGGGGGAAAAGACTGACGGCCACAGGAGAAGAGGAGCAGCATGGCCACCTCATATCCCACTGTCCCTGGCTTGGCCTCCCTGCTGTTAGAGCAGGGATGCCATAAGGGTAGGCAGCAGCATGGGGATGGTGGAGATGCAAAAAAGCTGGGGAACGCCAGGCAGAAACCATGACTCACAACCTGGCTACCACAGCAGCCAGTTATTGATTCCCAATAACTGCAGTGGCATTGGGCTCGTGATACTGGGAACCACCAATGCTCCTGGCACCTGGACCAGTCCTACAGATATGTGCAACTGCATCAGGCTGCATGGGTCCACCCTAGCAGATTCTGACAAAAAAAAAAAAACTATTTTTTTTTACCTGAGCATTTCACTACTTTTTCAGCTCTTTTTTCATCGACTTCGTTCTTAACAATGCATGTGAACTTCCCAGAATGCCTTGTGTGCAATTCCAACTTTGTTACATTCTTCTGGATTTTTTTGGTTTTATCATGAGTCAGTTCTAGTATAAATGTTTCCTCTTTAGTCTTCTGCTTCACTTCACACTTGACAGATACAGTTTTATTTATGCATTCAGCAATAAGGATTGGATGAGGGACACGTTCTGAAAAACAAGAGAAGGGACAGGCACATCTGAGATGGTTTATTCCTTCTGAAAACCTCTGTTATTAAGCAGAAAACAAAATTAGCCTCCAATACGCAGTAAGGGAGTAACACCAGCTAATGAGATCAGAGATGACTGAAGAGCAAATTAGACCACTACTACAGAATTAATATGGCAATAATAAGGAAAATGCAGCACATTAGCCTACGTATTTCACCTAGCAAAGCAGAGCTGCATCAGAATAGAAAACGCAAACCAGAAACCTCTCAATGAGATTATGACAGAAAGAACTGATTTCTGTCTCTTTTTATGTCCTGCAAATAGCTAGCTACATTTTGGTTCCAGATTCTCTACCACTGGTAGCTCTGAATGAGCCAGAAAAGCCTGCAGAACTTTCCTCAACTAAGGAACAACTGGCAGAGGACATCAGGTGGAAAAAATGTAATTTCTACCCTTTAGACCAGGTAAACAAAACCATGCCAGGGCCACTTCTAGTTACAGGCAGCATAAGTTATTGAGGTCAAGAATTTTGAAGCTGCCCATAGCAAATGCTGTCTAGGTTCCCACTGTGACACCTGCAGCCACCCTGTCCTTGCTAAGTTCACTCCTCTTCTGCAAGCTGTAATCTATCATACAGAGGAACATCCCAGTGTGCAACACTAGAGTTCAGGTCCCAGTGACAGAGTTGTGTGATGATACCATCTAAAACATTCTGATTTTTTTAATAACTATTTGTCCAACCCTAGTAACAGAATCTAATCTGGCTGATGACTCTAACACCTAACAGTTACTAAAGGACTTTACTTCCAAAACTGTGTATTAGAGGTAAGGCAACCTCTTTGCTGCACAGATGAAATGATGCAGCACATAGCTGGGTTGGAACCTTAGCCTCGGATTGAACTCAACACACCCCAGTGACAGCTCAGTGGCTTAAAGCATGAGTAAATAGCATCAGGTCCTGATGACTTCCTGAATCTGTAGACAGTTTGCGGTAAATGATTCCTAAAGTAGTGAGATACCCTCACAGCTCAGCAACCCTTTAGCCACAGGGCCTCCTACTGAGTAGAAACTCTGCTAAAACCATTCCAGCTGTCCTTGCTGCCTTATCAAGGAATCATTTCTGTCAGGCCAGTTGGTGTCCACAGACTCATGAGGTTGGCAGAGGTGTACATGAAGGCTGCCTTCATGCTTCCAAACTCTGCAACTGAAATCCCCCGGCACATGCTTAAGCATGTTTTGAACAGCAAAATTTTTGTATTTGTTGCGTTACCCTATGCAAGTATAGGGTGTCCAGGAGTCTTCTTCTCCTGCGAATTCAACTCCTATTGTAATGTATGTCGAAGGATGTGACTGGTGGCTACTTTTTATGTTAGAGCAAAAATAAAGTGGGACTATGTTGCCTAAATACATGCATTGGTGCCAGCTGGGCTCCTGAGCTCTCCTTAGGGGGTTAGCAGTTGCAACCCAAGATCCTCACCTTGCTGGAAGAGTAGCTGGAGACCAGAAACCATAACTCACTGTCCATAAAATAGCACCAGAAGTGCCCAGCACATCAGCCACAGGCGTACCCCATGTAGGTTGCCTTACTCCCATTTTTGTGGGTTTTTGGAAGTAAGGTGCTGCTGGAAGGGGCCCAGCTCAGGGCCCGAAGGGTTTCAGCACCACGTGCAGCATTGGAGTGTGGGCATCTGCACTCACTCGGGTGCCAGCACAGACCTGCTCATGGCTCCTTGCTTGGGCACACATAGAAATCAGGTGGCTGACAGAGATAGGAGTCAGAAGGAAACAGCAGACCAGAGGGCTTCCAACAGGAGCAAGAAAAGGGAGAAGAGTGGCAGGCTGCTGTGAGCGGCAGGAAGAAAGACATGTTTCACAGAAGCTCCCTCAAAACCAAAAGGGGAAAACAAGGAGAAAAGGTAATAGGAGAGAGCGGGAATACCACATCCTATTCAGATATGCTGGGAATGATATGAGAAGTGCAAAAACTCACCCTGAACGATAAACATTATGTCTTCTTCTGCCTGTAATTTTCCATCCTGCTGATAAACAGTCACTGTGTACTTTCCACTGTCCTCTTTCACCAGCTGCTGTAGTTGCAGAGTCCCGTTTGGGAATATCTTGCATCGGCACTGCTCTTTGTTCATGTAGTACTTAACTTTATTAGCTTTAATCTGAAGCAATTTTCTTCTGTCTCTCAGCCACGTTGCATCATACACACTCCTAGGAGCAGCCGTGATGTTAAGAAGAGCAGAGCCGTTCACAGCCTTGTAAATCGGGTTGGTGTCAGAGCCTACAAAGCACAAGCAGCCCGTCAGCGTGTCTCCAGCAGCCCCTGCTGCCACACTCGGCAACCACAGCAGTGACCCAGAAGGTTGTCACTTGCTACCCAACCTCCCCCGCCAAGTTGCTTGAGCCTCTCTCAATTACTGATGCTGTCCTCTTCTCCTGCTCCAAAGGGCTCTTGATCATTCATTAGATAAATGTCACTGCCTAATTTAAGTCTGAGAGGCAAGCAAGACAAAAGTTTGGCTTTCTAAAGCTGGCTTTATACCAGCTGGAATGATTTTGGATGTCAAGATTCATAGCTGCCCCAGAAGTTAACCCTTCCTGAAAATAAGGTCACTTCAGTGTGTTTTGCACATAGCACAGACTGGTCCATAGAGCACTTACCGCTGCAGACAGCAAGAGCACAAACTAGTAGCGGCCCCGAATAGTAGGATCAGTTCAGCAATATCAAGTGAGGGCAATAATAACATTATATAATAATATTATTACATAATTTTTATTATTACCCCAGCTGGAGGCTTGAGACCACACTTGGAGTACTACATCCAGCTCTGGGTCCCCTAGCATAAAGAAGGATGTGGATCTGCTTGAGCAGGTCCAGAGGAGGCCACATAGATGATCAGGGAGGTGGAGCACTTTCCCAGTGAGCACAGGCTGAGAGAGTTGGAGCTGTTCAGCCTGGAGAAGAGATCTCCAGGGAGATCTTACAGGGGCGTAATGGTTTCAGACGGAAAGTGAGTAGACTTAGATTAGGTATTAGGAAGAAATTCTTTCAGGCAGTGGAACATGCTGCCCAGAGAAGCTGTGCCAGCCCCCTCCCTGGCAGTGTCCAAGGCCAGGCTGGATGGGGCTTTGCGCAGCGTGGGCTAGTGGGAGGTGTCCCTGCCCATGGCAGGGGGCATGGAACTGGATCTTTAAGGTCCCTTCCAACCCAAACCATTCTGTGATTCTAACAGTAATAATAACAGTGGCTCATGTCAAGCAGTGAGTGAGTGTAAGACACTGAACTGGAGGCAGACTCAGTGCTGCCAGCTTGCAGTGCCCCCTCCTCACCCATCCTGGGCACCCTGCCAGGCTGGAATATACCCACTTGGTTTTCCTAGCACAGGATCACAATGGTGCAAAAGTAAGGCAGGGAGAAGCAAACACCTAACTACACCCTGCAAACTGGTCGGGCTCTGGAGAGCAGAGGCAAAAAAAAAAAAAAAAATTAAAAATAAAAAAATCTTTTCACTTTGCAGGTCTCCTTTGATGACAGGTGCCCTCTCCTGAACAGGTGAGAGTAAGTGCTTTCCAAAGGCATTACCAGGAATGGGCAGCACTTATCATGCGGCTGCTGAAGGGGATATGCAGGAAAGCCGAAGCTGCCAAACATCAGTGTCACTATTACCAGAGGAGATGATGGACTCTTTGGGCTGCACCTGGGTGGCCTGTCCTCTCCCCTCCAGGCTCCTTCACAGTCTTTGCAGGGCCCACCTCTGGTGAACCAGGCCTTTGGAGTGCAAAGTTTTTCGGGAGGTCACTTCAAGTAAGGTACTTCTCTCCTGTCCCGTGGCAAGTGGAAAATTTGCAGGAGGAAGTAGAGAAGTGCTCACAAGCGCCAGGTGGGATAAGCTCAGTGATAAGCAAGTGCATACTGAGAGCCACAGCTTATTTAATTTGTCATATCTTTATGTTCATTCCTCTTCAGTTTACAGGATAAGGGGGATCATCAGGAGGGGACTTCTGTTCACAAAACCAGATAGAGTTGATTCTGCTCTAGTTTTATCCATTTTAAGCATCTTTTGCCCACAGAGAGAAAAAATATATTTATGCATATTTTTATTACAGTCCTTCATTTCTGCTATATAGGACAATGATAAACTACATCACAGAGAGGAAACTGAAATCCAGTTGCTATTTCATGAAACTAACAATATTAGAGACAATCAAAAAATTAAAATGTTCCTCTGCAATAAGAAAATTAATACTAAGTTGCTTCTGGCAATTCACCACCAGTCTAAGGAGAGCCTGTTATTTTACTACTGCATTTCTTATAAGGTATTTCATCTATTGAATGAAATATTCTGAAATCAGTCTATCAATCAGTCTTGGAAGCATCTGTCCACAACACAGATGACACTACAGATTATACCCAAATATTTGAATTCTGATACTTGTTTCTGTTCAGTCGTGCAAAGGTATTTGGAGCTAGTAAAAGGATTTGTTTACATAACAGATCCTCTCTCTTTTCTTTTTTCTCTCTGGAAGTAAAAAAAAAATTAATCTAAGTTTTTGAGGATATTTCAGTGGCATCTCTATAGATAAACCACCTATACACATATCTCTGGATGTTTATCTGATCTCTATAGTCATCCTAAGGGAAAGCTGCATATCTCACACACATGATAGTAAAACCTGTTTAGCTAATCCCAACTGAAATGCTCTCCAAGGCACAGAAAGATCAAAAGTGGCAGCACAGAGCTCACTTGCAGTCACAAGAAAGAGTTAAAAATAAAAGCTCCTGTAGTAATTTTAGAGAAGTAAGGAAGTCTTTGAAACAAGTTTTCCATTGAATAGAATAATTTTCATTTCTGCTGGGGAAAATGTTTTAATATCACATAAAAAAAATATCCTTAGCTATATATTAATTTTGTTCTACAGGAAAAGAAAAGCATTAAACATCCATATGTACAAACTGTAATAGAATGAACAGAGGAAAAAAAACAACCTGTGCATGATTGTATTGTCTCCTTCTCTTATAACCTTCTCTAATATGTGAGTTAACACCTTAATTAAGATTTTAGATTAATATTTTAAAAAGTAATGAGAGCAGTAATACGCAAAATATAAAAGATGTCTGTATTTGCTTGCTGCTTTCACATCTTGGACTTCTTCAGCTCCACTGAAGACACTGAGATATGTCACTCTTTCTCTTAATATTTATGGAAGAATATAATTTGCACTTTCAAAAGATTTGCTCATCTTTGATAAGAAAAAGAAATTACATGCGATAATGCACCATGAACTGGATCTCTAATGTAGTACAAGCTACCTCGAGGGCAGAGAGAAAAATGAACGCTGACATTTCTCATTAAACACGTGTCAAATTAAGGCTCATTAATTTAAAACCAAAATTGTTTACAGCTCATTATTATAACTGGAATAGGAAACTCAGGTCCTGCCCTCCCCCCGACCTGAAAATTAAATTAAATAATAACAGCAATAACCCAAAGGTTTTCACTCACTGAGAAAGTTGAACCGCTTGCTTATCAGTAACATTCCACCAAGTTGTATATGATTTAAAATGCAAATTTTAACAACACTAGCATAAAAGAGAAAAAAAAAGATAAACTCACATTTTACACTGGGAAATAAAAGCAGCAAGCACTTGACTAGAAAAATCCTCCTAAGGTTCATTTTCAGGGTTAAAAAAAATCCAGTATCGCCTTGTCTAATGACAGCTCCTGGCAGGTGAAAGGATTTTTTGCTGTGAGCAAGTGGTGGCGGGACATGGACGTGTTGGTACAGCCCTCATGCTCTCCTCCCCTCCTCCCGCTCTCACCCTAGAACTTCTCATTTTTAGCACAGGCACAAAACGCCACAGGCAGAAATATCTTGCAACAGGATGTTTTATCAGGATGGGGACAAGGTCCAGTGACAAGGAAAATGCACGCTAAAATGTAGGAATGCCCCTAAGTTCTCTCTACACAGCTGGGCGGCCAGCCAGGGAGCCCTTGTCCTCTTCAATGTTCACCTCAAGAGTTCAACTCCAGCATCCACACGCCACCATCCGAGCAGGACAGATGCCATTTCTGAGGTGAGGGGCTGATGGAAATCCTTCTACTCTCCCATAACCTCAGCAGCAGCAAGGAGGAGGTAGCCGATGACTATTGGGCAATGTGCAGAAAGACGACATGTTTCCCTCGGAAACTGTCAGGATCAGCTTCACACCAAGAACTGATCCAAGGGGGGCTGCTGTTTGAGCAACCTATGAAAAAGAAACAAGCACGGAAGGGGGTGAAAACACTCCCTTTGGGTCCAGTCAGAAATCAGCCCTGAAACTGGTTGGTATGGGAAAAACGATAAGGAAAGAAGCTGGAAGGAGGCATGGGAGTTAGGTTTGAAAACATGAGAGGCTACTAAAATCCTTATTCCTGTTTCCAATGTGAAACAGATGAGGTGGTGAGGATTTTGAATTGTATCATCCTCAGCACAAACCCTCTGCTACAGCAGCCACTGAAATCTTTCAGCTTTTCATCACAGGTGTAGACCAAGAAAGACAAAAGAAAAGCTATGGAACAGGAGATGTACAATATCAGACAATTCTTTCTCATTCATTTATGTGATTCTCCTCCCTTGAAGCTATAGGAAGATCTTGTAAGACAGCTCCCCTTCTCCAGCTTCATCGTCTTTTAGCTGGTACAAGCTATCCCTTTTTGCACAAAAGTAGAAAAAGTTACCTGAGATCAAATGCACTAAGGTCACAGTATTGCTGCCTCTGCACATCGTGGCAAAACCTGGCTTTTCTTCTCTCTTTTCGTTACTGTTTCCTTACGAAGAACTCAGAAGGGAAAGGCATACGCAGAAGGAGAGAGGAAGCGACAGAAGCAAGATGACATTTTTGTGCCTGACCTTTAACCTCTGTACGGAAAAACAAGCCAAGGGCAGGGACTGCCATACCCAGGCACCTCCCCAGCTAAGCAGAGTGTGCCAGCAGCGCTGGTGCTGGTGGCCAATGTGGCCGGGCCATGCAAGGTCTGCAGGCTTGGACACATTTGCTTCCAGCCTGAGCACCTACAGGGCTTTGGGCAAAGACAGCAACCTCAATCTCTCCCACTTTTTGCTGGGTCCATAAAGCAGAGTCCATAAAGAGGGGGCCCCTGGGCATGCTGAAACCACTGCCCACACTCTGCTCAACCTTGTCTCGCTTCCTCAAGGCACCATCCCTCAAAACCACCATCTGCTTCCAGTGTACCCTGCACCTTGTCTGACTGTCAGTGCGCTCAGATTGCAAATGTGCCAGGGTGGGGACCATTTCTCTGCTCTGCACACACAGAGCCTGCTCAGTGCAGGCAAAAATTGAGATTGGTACAAATCAAACACAAATGGAAAGATTCATGTGCTTGTGAAGGTGAGAGAGAGAAGAGAGGTAAAGCTCCACAGCAGCAGAAGGAGACTTAAAAAGATGCCCTGCATTCATAATGAAAGCCACTACTTCCAATTAATCACGTTTGTCATGCTGGGATGCCCACGCTCTTGTAAAACCACAGCCGAAATGACTCGCATTGCAGGAAGCCCCTACGCTCCAGCAGATCAGTTATAGCACAAACACAACACCCTTTTTCCTGTTAGATCAACAAGTAGACAGGAGAAAGAAACGAATCCTGAAGGATATAAGAGGCCTGTTCAAAAATGAGTTTGCTGTGAGCAGTGAAGAGGCACTCAAGGCAGGTGGTATGGGCTCAATGGCTGATGTCCCGTGCCCACTGTGCATCACAGCAGTGATACCAGGCCTTCGTATTTTCTGAGTACTTGGTTGCGTACACATAAAATGAACTTGCTCAGAGATTTTGTGTAACCAAAACACAGCCAAGCCAGTGAAGGGACACACCACACACCTACAGTAAGGACTCCCTGTGAGATCCTGGTATGTGGCATGGTCTATCCCACCAAGCAGCCTCTTTTCTAACCAGTGTCAGAAATCTCCTACACTATCAGAGCAAGCTGGACAAGGCGAAGGCAGTCCATGTCTCTAACCTCACCTTTCTGGCCAGATGAGAAGTAGGGAAACAGCAATATCTTTGCACCTTTACCCTCCATCTCTTGAGGACCAAAACACTGTCATGCTGCAGCCCTGGCTAGGCTTCAGTCCTCCTTCTAGAAGGAAGAGATTCTGGATGTTACTGAGAGGGAAGCATTAGAAGTCCTTGCACACTCATGTCTTTGCTTCCCCCCCACAGGAAGGCATTAAGTAAAGAGCGTCTGAAGGCAAATGGGTATCTCCAGCAGGCATAGCAGCTTTGGGCTACTGTCACAGAAGAGCTCTGGAGGCCGGCATGCACCTTCACCAATGCAGTGGAGGATGAATGTCCCGATTTTTTTCTGCCAGGCCCGCAGACAACCATACCCTCATGCTTTTCTGCTCAGGGCAGACACCCTCTCTCCTGCCTGTTACACAGGAAGTTACACTGCTGGGTTAAACACAAGCCAGCTAGAAAACCAGAGCATCCACAGACAAGAGATGTCTCCTGGCATGGCAGTGCTGGACCTGTCTTTGGTGAGGCCTGTCAGCCCATGGTTAAAGATGCTTTACCTCTGCTTAGTCCACTGCACTGGGCTAGACATCTCCATCTTCTCACACACAGCAGAGCAGAGGACCAAGCGCAGCTGTGAAAACAGGGTGGTTTTTTGCAGCTACTGCTGTCACTGTGGTATTGTTTCCACTGCAGAAACCACAAACTGCCATGGTTATAAGCATTTGCTTTTTTTTTTTTCCTTCCTTTCTTTCTTTTTCTCTCTTTTACTGTTCTGTTCTTTGTAATGCACTAAGCAGTTTCCTCACAGGGAATGTAGCATACTTACGTTTCCATATAAAGGTGACAGACTCCCACACATCTGAAGGCAACATCCTGAGAGACAGTATGTCGCTGTTCCCAGCTCTATTTCTTCAAATCTTCTAAGTCTTAGTGATGAGCCAATAAACATCCATACCTGAAACTTATTGAAAAAAAACAAAAAAAAATTTAAAAAAATAACATTATTAGATCTACTAGAAAAAGTACATGTACATGTAGCATGTTCTTCTCAGGAAAGCCAGCATGCAATAAGCCAGTGTGAATATTTGTAGCCCATCTGCTATTTTACACCATCTCCTCTGATACAAAACCAAGGTCATATTAAATGGCATTTACATGGAATATTCTTCCCTGAAAGAAGAGTCAGACACCCTGCACTCACCACCACCTACCAAGACACTCACCATGAAAGATGACAAGCGTATTGCAAATTCATCTCTCTAAATTTGTGACAAAGACAGGAGACAGGCCTTTGGCGAGGCATAGTTTGTGAGGAGAAAAGAAAATGTATTCTTCATTGGAATGCCTGATAGGTAATTATGATGTGGAGAGGAAGCTTTGGATAAGGTTAACCTTATTCTTGGGAGCTTTCCTGGCTTTGCATCCTAGCATGTGAGACTAACTGCTGGACTCCATCTGAGTTGCCCTGGATGATAGCTGAGGGTTTCCCTTCTCCTTTAGCATAACTTGGCAGAAAGAGATGAATTGTGGGCAGTTGCTGGAGTAGTGGGGGGAAGTCAACCCTGGCAGAAGGAGTTGCCTCTGCACTGTGAAATGCCAATAAACCGCTGGCTTCCACATACAGTTTCAGCCATTTGGCTGATGAAGGCCACATATCCCCTCCTCTTTACCTCTGCCTTACACAGAACCAAGAAAAGAAGACATCTAGCTTGAACGAAGTGGTGCAAATATAAAGATCATGAACACAAAATTAAAGCTTTGGCCAACGGTTTGGCAGGGATGCTGACTCAGTACCTTGGAGCCTGCTACATGCAAACTGAGAGCACTGCTTTGCCTATTGACAGCAGAAATACTCCAAAAACAGTGACACACCCTGTCTGTGCTGAAATGGCTGTATGCCAAAATTTTTTCATCCTGCTCTAAACAGAGGTAGATGGAAGCTTTCAAACCATAACTCATGCAGAATAGTCTTTTGCTGATTATTTCAAGATAAATGATTCCTTTAGTATATAACACCACATCACTAGCCCCAGGTATTCTCTCTCAGACTCATTTTCTTCTTTTCTACCCATGAGCCTGTGTCAACAGCCAAACCTCAGGAGAAACATCTGAAGAAACACAGCACCCTTAGACAGAGCAGTCTGACAGTCCATGGGTCACAACAATGACAGGGGTTAGAGCAGGTGTCAGCATCCCATCAGTTATTCTTGCAGATGGTGCATTTCAGTCTTGATTGTCTGAAGCTGATTTCCATCATCTGTAATGATCCTAGATTAGGGATCTATCTCTCAGTATCTTCTAGTAATTTCAGTGACATTACTACTACTGTTGCGGTCCAAGCAAAAGTCTGTGGGCATGATGCAATCTGCCTTATATGAGAAGCCAGTTAGATGACCAGAACAACATCTTCCAGTCTTAGTCATGATAAACACATGAAGATCTATAGTAACTAAAATATCCCCCTTCATAACCAGAGAGGAGATGGACTAGCTACCCAAGGAAGATATTAAAACAGCTGCTCTTAAAAACATATCCAGGAAAGACAACTTTGGATACTACCATCCAAATAATCTCTTGGTCAAGATCTGACACTCTCCAGAAATCACCAGCTTAACAAACGCGTAACTCATGTCTTGTATAATGTTTTACTCTATTACGTCT